ATAATCGTTAATTTTTTTCCACCTTTCTGTGTCCAGTAATAATCGAGATAAAGCGTGTTCCAACTTTGTAGAAGTGAGATCATTAGAGAGTTTTGAATGCCATGTAAAAAAAACTGGATACTTGGAATTTGACAAAAAGTCGTCACGGGACTTCATAGAACAGAAAAAGGACATAATTCAGTAGAAGAATGTTTATCAGTGTTGGATGTTCTGCCAATGGGTTTTCACTCATGTAATAAATACCAGCAAGAACTAGGAGCAATGTGGCAGCAATGTTTAACGGATGCAATTCAAGCAGCAGGGGAGGAAGAATACCAGAAAGCTTTAGTAGCAAATGTTGACACCAGGAGGAATTGGCCAATGTGCAGTGGTTTTTGATGGTTCATCCATCATCCACCATTTACATCCACATGTATGGATATAAATACATGTCAAAATTCGGCATAGCATGCAATATTGGAGTTCATAAAAAAAAATTATTTTTTATAGGAATTCGCGATCAGAATTGTAGTATATGTGCAATTAATGAATGAAAACAAGCTATGACATCTCATATTTCATCATCTCAAAAATGGGACTGGATTATCACCAGCAATGGAGGCTGATATATTTATTGAAGATTTTTGAAAAAATGAAAGCATGCACAATCTTGAATATGAAACCTGTATGTGTCCACTCAAAAATTCTTGAAAAGATTCCTTGAATTGATTGTCGTAAAATAAGAAAAAAATCTAATGTACCAATCATTTAACAAAAAACATTACCATGAAATGGCTAAAGAATCAGCTAATAATAAAATAATATTATCAAGTGCTCACAGATGAAACGAAAAAAGGTTTATTTTAGATCTGATATATGGACAGTGTTTTGCAACAATAAAACAAAAGGTAAGACGTGCCAAACTGCCCATCATAATGTATACTACATCAAGCAAAAATGATATAAGGCATATCCATACTCATGAAAGCGTTTGTTAACTAAGTTCTACGAGAAATGAGAAATAATATTGGACCCAGGACTGACCCTTGAGGCACTCCATACTTCAAAAGTTTTTTATCAGATTTAAGCTGGTTAAAGAACACATACTGAAATCTATCTGATAGATAAGACTCAACTGACTGAATAGACATAGGATGAAAATTATAGGCATGCAGTGAACAATCAAAAGCTTTAGTAATAAAGCCAAATATAATTTCTTTGGAAAAAATTCTGTCACTGAGGCATGTAATTTTGGCATTTGCTTACTCATTATCAATGTCTCTGTAATAAAGTAGGCAGATAATTGAAAATTAGCAGAGTGTGTTTCAGCAGAGGAAGTTGAATCTTATGAACATACTTATATCAAAGCAAAATTGTTTAGGCCTTTGAGGGTTGATGTCAGATATAGCTATCTACACTGATTACTCTAATGCATTTGATAGGGTAAACCACATTATATTATTAAATAAACTAGGTACTTCGGGTTTTTCACCCTTTATGATCAAATTTTAGGGGCTTTTTAAGTGAAGTTATGCAAACATTAAAAATTCGAAACTTTTGCTTTGATGCTATTGAGGTTACTTCTGGTGTGCTACACGGGACTCACTGTTCTCCCTTGTTGTTTTGTTTGTTTATTATTGACTTGACAATCAAAATTACAATACATAGATGCTTCAATGTTTGTAGATGATCTTAGACTCTTTGGAAGAGTTAATACAATGTGTTAGATATTTATTTGATCCAGGATGATTTGAATGATCTATGGTTATGGTGATCAGAAAATAATTTACAGCTAAATACCCAGAAGTGCTAAATTAAGAAATTAATTGACTCCTTATACTACATTGGTAGTAACGAGTTATATGAAGTCAGTTGTATTAGGGATTTAGGTATAATTTTTGATAGTTGTCTCCAATTCATTGGTCAGTGCAAGCAGCTAAGAAGTTGAGATTTATCACTTGTAATTCAAAAGGGCTATCATGCCCAGCAGTTAAAGTGATATATTGTTCATTGGTAATATCTCTCTTAGAGTATTCTTCAGTTGTCTAAAAAATTATGGTGTATTTCCATATAGTAGTAATATAAATATTGTAGTTAAAATTAAAATGCCAAAAGATATTTTCAAAACCACATTAAGATTTAATGAAGATCATGGTTTTCCTAAAAATAATGCTTTCATTTCACAACCCCAACAGCATGGCTTTCAAAGGGGGAGAAGCACAGTGTCAAACTTGTTGATCTACCAAGATGATATATTGGGTGCCTTCGAGAGGAAGTACCAGGTGGACAGCATCTATACTGACTTCTCAAAGGCATTAAATAAAGTAAATCATGGTTATTTAATCAGTAAATTAGGAGCCATAGGTATAGCTGGCGAATGGCTTGATTAGTATGATAGTTTTCTTGTGGTTAACACCCAGAGCATGAAGATAAATGGTGTGTTGTCTCAATCTGTTGACATCCTCTCTGGAGTACCACAGGGGTTACATTGTGGTCCTCTACTTTTGTCCTCTTTGTTAACAATGTTGAGAAAGTCATTAAGTATTCAAAATTTCTCAACTTTGCTGATGATAAAAAAATTTATAAAGTCATTACTTGTCAGTATGATCAAATTCAGCTACAAGAGGATATCAGCAGAATTAGCGATTGGTGCAAACTAAATGAATTAAAATTGAACATTGATAAGTGTTGTGTTATTACTTTTCACAGGAAGCAAACAAATTTAAATTACGATTATAGCATTGATAACACTCAGCTGTCTAGGCAGGACTGTGTTAAGGATTTAGGTGTTTATTTTGATTGTAAATTAGCATTTCGTAAGCATCTAGAGGTCACAATAAGCAGTGCATTTAAACAATTAGGGTTTATAACTAGAAACATTTCTCGATTTTCATGTTTTGTTTTACCAATTATTTTTAATAGTCTCATTCACTCTAGACTAGAATATGCAATAGTTGTATGGGGACGTTACTATCAAACATCTATAGACAAGCTTGTTGGTAAACACTATCATTACCATAGAGCTTTTCATGACCTCTCTGTCTCATACAGTTATAGTATGATAGCTGATCACTTGACAATGGTTTCTATGAATCAGCGAAAAGATTATTTTTGCCTAATATTCCTTTACAAAATTGCTAATAATTTGATAAATTGCCCTGAACTTTTAAATCCATTAGGTCTTAATACTCTTCATTGAATTAGGCATACTTCATTCTTTCACCTACCATTTCATCAATTTAATTATGAATACTTCAAGCCTCTTACTCATATGGTGAGGTAACAAAGTGATCTGGACTTATTTTTCCAGTCCTTAGAACAATTTAAAAATGTGATATTAGTTAAAAAAAAATTTAAAGAAACTGCTATTTTTGTGATATTAATTTGTACTCAAGTTAATTATTCGTTTTTGTTAAACTTTACTAATTATTTTCCAATGTTATGCTTACAGTTCAGTTCAGTGCAATTGAATGCAGTTTGAGAAAATCTGAATACTTTTCTCCATATTCGTTATTAAGAGTCCTTTTGAAAGTAAACACAAAAAAAGTCTTACAACCATACTTCAAATGAAAGAGCCAGATTTTTTGGATTTTTCAACCTACTCATCAAAATTGAATTATACTGCAGATCCATTTTCAAAGGTGGTTTCTTTACAATTTACTACAGATTTTTATGACCTAGGTTTTCAAACCACTTTTAACAAACATGAATACAAAATCATCAGATTTAGACAACGGAATGCAGGAATACAAGTGCTGAAAATGACGAAATATCCATATCAATAAACAAAAATGATATTAAAGTCAACTTGGCACACAACAAGGTAGAAGCTCTGAAATCAATGTACAAGTGGATGCCAGATGTAGACAGAAACTTTTATGTTCACATGTTTTTCAACATGTCTCAATATAAACAATAAAACTGAGATTGCTGATCAGAAGATAATGTTACAAAGACTTATGTTTCATGTTTTCGTGTTTTTTATTAGAATCACTATGTTATTTTATTATTTCAATAAAAATATGGAAAAATTTAAATATTTTTTATTCCTTTTTTGTAAATTTAATGTGCTTTTGTAGTAGACTTTCATCTATTATGTTTAAAACAAAAGCAAATATACTTTCTTGTATACCAAATTTAATTGTCAAAATAATCAGTCATTTTTCTCAGTTTCTATATTTTGTATTATACAACCTTGTAATTCTTAGGCAGTGAATGGTCATTAAGAACTAAGAAATGATGACATTGTTTCAATGGTTGATCAGAATCCAGATCAAGATGTTTCTGAGAATACCAAAGATATCTAAACAAAACATTTCCCATGTGTTCTAATTTATTAATGTTTTGTAAGTCCTGTATTGCAATATGGATTCACTCATTATAACTGTTTTGATTCTTAGTTTGTTATCTCTTCCAGAAAATTTTTATGTTTTGTTTTAATTATGTTTGCTTTTGTTGTGTTGTGTTTGTTTAATGGGAGGAAACTAGACCAGCTTTATTGCTTTACAAGACAATCTTTACATACATATATCAGATACACCTAATTAGTTCTCTTATTATATTTTTGCTTTGATTGAAATATACACGACACTGCAAAGGCTTGTTCAAAAATCTACAACACACCCTTAAAAACTAACCTACATGTATAATAAAGTTCAAACAAAATGTGTCAGTGTATATAGAAACTTTTGTAATTGAAATATGTTATTTTCTTATTTTAGTCCGGTGTAACAGATTGATATTTAATGTATTTCTAATCCCTTGTAAAGGTTATTTGCTTTCCTTTTTTGAGGAAGGATTAGAAGAGTCAATGTTTTTTTTTGCTGAACATAACCTCAGTTTTGAAAATAGAGTTTTGTTTTTTCCAAAATGTCATAGGTAATGTTATAAAGGTATAGTATACACATTTATTTCGAATGCAAAAACCAAAATGAACATATTTTGAATTGAACTTTTTGTAGAAATTCTAGGGCGTATATTTATTGACTGTTTGAAAGCAATTTGACAAAAACATAACTTACACAACCATTCCATAGGCTCCTTCTCCGATGTAAGCCAAATTTGCGTACCGAGGGCCTACTTCGAAAATTTGTCCTCGAACAATTTCAGCATTGGGATTAACATTTGCCGCACCTGTGGCTTCCGCCATTTTCAGCGAACTAGGAGGAGATTGACGAAATAGAGAAACAAACCGCACGCAAACCACTTTCCTGTCACTCGTCACAACTGTTTTCTTGTGGAATGTCGATCATAAACGAACTCAAAAAACGATGAGGGATTTGAAAGAAAATTATCGATTACTCGATGCCGTAAGACGCAACACGGAAAACGTTGACTTTCCTAAGATGAAAGACGTAACTGTATGTCAGTGTACATTTAAGAGTGTGATTACACGAGCGGTATGAGAACGTCCGTTTCGAGTGACGGACGTTTTTTGTAACGTGCGATTGAGTCGTGGTCACACAGGACATTCGAGTTTGAGGTGTTCAGAATTCAGTATCCAATTGGTGTTATTTATTTAATCTTGAAAAAGCGAACAAAAGAAAAACATACAATGAAAATAGTGTGTACATCCTAGAAATAGTGAAAGTCCTCTTCGAGGATTTTTTTACAATTTATAAGATCGGTTCTGTCCAGACGAAGTTAATTTTTTAAATTATTCTCTAATGTTTTCCCCTAATAAAAGTATACAGAACGTTCCGGTTAAGTTAGCTATAAATGAAACGTCAAATTTGCAGATGCCGCCTTTGAAGTTTTTCAGCACGCGCGCCATGTTTTAGAAGGAAACACATAACACAGACATATGATTTGTGAGGTTATGTAATCGTTTATGTTTAGTTATATTATTATTTATGTTATTATATTTAACAATGTTAATATAATTGTATAGTAATGTCTATGATTGCCGTAAGTCAATAAACCGGGTTAATTTTTCTATGCACACCACATAAACAACACTGGTTCCCTCTAAAACATGGCGGAACGTCTGCGCGAACGAGATGCGCGTACTTAATTTTCCCTGGAGAGTGGGCATTCTGATTGTTTATTATTCTGTGGTATTGTATTGCCATACCCTTATGTATGTTTTATGCCTCAAATATAATTTGAAACAATACATTTTTTATATTATTTTATGGAATCTGGTATTTTTTTTTTATTTTAAATGTATATAAAACACGAAGGAATGCATATTTGTTTCTTTCGATAATAGTTACAGTTAGTAGAAAAATTTTTTTAATTGCCTTTTGGTATATTACCGGATACCCGGATCAAGACCGTTTTTTACGACCTTGCATCTGATTTGTTTAGTCAGAAAGTACTGGTGAAATTCTATTCCATTCGATATAAATTTTCAACTATGACGATATTGTAATTCTTATAAGGAATAAAGGAAAATATGTAACGATACTTCTTGGGGTAAAAGCCCTCCGCTACCTGCCTACATAATTTGGATATTATCACAGTCAGTTCAGCAAAAGCTATTACAAAAGTCGGTCGCAAAATCTCGTAAGCTAAACTCGCTAGCTTGCAAATACTCGCTTTGCTTATTATTATATGTATTTGTAAGTATTTCCCATCTCATTATTATTCATAAAGATTATCAAGTCAATCATTTATAGTACCTAGTGTTTCCTAAAACCGCAGTTATAGCTTTCATATAAACAGTTCATCTATTCAAACCAGCAGTGTTGCCATTAGTTCGCTTTAAACATAGAAACGACATTCCGCTAAGCAATTCTACTTGTAATTATATGTAATAGTGAAATTAAGTGAAAGTCCTTCGTCCTTCAATTCTTTAAATAAGTTAATGTTCAACCCAGTACTATCTCGCCTGAACTAAGAAGAGATGATGTATATATTGGAATTATTTATAATGAAAACTATAGTTCAATTTATCTTATTTATTCGTTTCTTGCCTATCATACAAAATTTTAACTTCTTTTAAAAGCAATGATATATTTAAACCTAATTTTGCACTAATCGGTATCACAGTTAAAGCAGTCATTTTCTTCAATTGTTCAATATTTGGTTCCGCACCAGGCAAATCCATTTTGTTAGCTATGACCAACTGTGGCCGGGATTTAAGATCATCATTAAACTGAGATAGTTCGTATTGAAGTATCTCTAACTTTTTCCAAGGTTCTGGCTCAGAGCTGTCTAGGATGATTAGTAGAGCCATACATCGTTCAGCATGCCTTAAAAATTCGATTCCTAAACCTTTATTTTTGTGAGAATCCTGGATTAATCCCGGAAGATCTGCAACTAGAATTAGATTTATTAAGCACTTACAATAACTTAAGATTTTACTTTGTAAACAAGATAAAATTTTAAGTCAAATCCTTAATTTCTATTTACCTGCCACTTGTTCATAATCATCATACTGAACTATTCCTATATGGGGCTTTAAGGTAGTGAACGGATAAGGAGCAACCTTCGGTTTAGCTCTTGAAATTGCTCTCAATAGAGTACTTTTGCCTGCGTTTGGGAAACCAATCTAAAATTGAAAGCATTATAAATTGTTTTGGAGTAAATGCAGATAGATAGATAGATAGAATTTATTCATCCACCAAGTTTATACAATTCTTACAAAAAAAAAAAAAAAAATGTATAAATCTTATCGGACTAGTCAAAATGTTAGTACAAAAGAGTACAATATATAGCAAAAGTACACATGATTAAAATAAAACAGTGATTACAATAAAATAAATAAATTACATTATATGTAATGTAATTACATTACATTATATAATAAATAATTTAAAAAAGAAATTACATAAGCAGTATAAATTGTTTGGTAGAAGGGATGATTATTTAAGATTTTCTCAGTTAAGAAATGAAATTAAACAAGTCTCCTCTCAATGCTATAGTAACTATTTGAATAATATTGAGAATGGGATTATATCTAATCCTCGACATTTTTGGAAATATATCAATAATAAACGTAAAAGTTATAATCTGCCATCTAATATGTTCTACGGTGATAGTACAAGTGATAATGCTCAAGACATAGTTAATCTATTTGGTAAGTTTTTCTCAACTACATATTCTAATTCTAAAATTAATCAGATCCCAATTTTTAACTATCAGCAGAGTGTAAATGTGAATAATTATAGTATTGAGGTCTCTGACATAATTGATAGTGTTTTAAAGATGCCTTGGAAATTATCGCTTGGACCAGATTGTTTGCCAGCTTATGTTCTCAAGCATTGCATTTTCACTCTTGTAAAACCTATCTGCTACTTATTTAATTCCTCATTGAGTACCGGCATCTTTCCTGATCTTTGGAAGACTAGTTATTTAACACCAATTTTCAAGTCTGGTAATAAAAATGATGTTGAGAATTATCGAGCGGTTTGTAGCCAATCTGTATTACCCAAACTTTTTGAGTGTCTTGTAAGTAACTTTTTGACATGGAATTGTAAAAATTTAATTGATGTTAGACAACATGGCTTTTCTAAGGGTAAGTCTACATGCACGAACTTAATATTGTATACGAATTTTATAGCTAATTCAGTGGAACAGAAGGGTCAGGTTGACGCTATCTACACAGACTTCTCAAAAGCCTTCGATAGAGTTAACCATGATCTGCTTATTGCTAAATTAAATGGCTATGGATTTGGAGGTAAAATAATTGAGTGGATAGGTAGTTATATATCTGGTAGATGTCAGTATGTTAAATATGGAAATTGTTTATCTCAACGAGTATCTGTAACCTCAGGAGTTCCTCAGGGGTCGCATATTGGGCCTCTCTTATTTAATATATTTGTTAATGATATATCCTCAGTGATTAAAAATAGTAATTTTCTAATGTTTGCTGATGACCTTAAAATATTTCGAATAGTTAATGACCTAGTTGATGCCTCTTTATTACAGAATGACATTAAAAGCTTAGCTAGTTGGTGTGAGGTAAACATGCTATACTTAAATATACAAAAATGTTTTAAAATTACTTTTGGAAGATCAAGAGAGTTTGTAAATTATGATTATTATATAAATAATGTACCTTTAGAGGCACGTCATAATATTAAAGATTTAGGTATAAATTTTGATTCTAAACTTACTTTTAAAAATCACATTAACGAAACTTCAGCTAAAGCTTTAAAAATGTTAGGATTTATTCTTAGAAACTGTAATCAGTTTTCAGTACAAACTTTAAAAATGTTATACTAGTTTAGTTCGATCAGTTTTGGAGTATGGTTCTCTCATTTGGTCTCCTTCATATAACAGTGACATCTACAGTATCGAGAGAGTTCAAAATAAATTCTTGAGGGTATGTGCTTACAAAATTGGTTTTCTTAGACAGCAATACACATATGATGATATACTGTCAATACTTAATATCTCATCACTACATGATAGACGATGTCAAGCGGATTTATGTTTCCTTTTTAAAGTTATAAATGGATATGTTCAAGATCCAGAGTTACTAAGTTTAATAAGTTTTAATGTTAATACTCGAAGAACTCGTAACACTGAGATTTTCAACATTCCATTCCACAGTACGAATTATGGCCAAAATGAACCCATTACAAGAATTTTACGAACTGCTAATGAGCACAGCAATAATTTAGAGTTATTTGGAATATCTACAGCAGCATTTAAGAAATCATTTGAGCGATTTTGAGCATTATTTAATACCTTAAGTTACCATTTTAATTGAATTTTGTTTGATTTTAATTTTGGTTTGTTTTTTATTAACGCAACCTATGTATACCTAAGCTTTGTAAAGGTTGACGTCATATTTATGTAAAAATGGTATATCCGTTAATTAAATAAATAAATAAATAAGAAATAAAAGTTACAAATACACATTTAGAACTATTGTGCAATAATGTTAAAAATTTAAAAATCCATCAACATTGTAGTATGTGTTGTCCATTAAAAATGAGTACACAGTTTGGCGAAAACCTTTATGTGAAGAATTACTGAGAGTTAATTTAATGAATATTTTAATTTAACATATTATTCTGATTGCTTATTGATTTACTCCTAGTATCATGTGAGTGAATGTCCTCTTTTCTGTCAAACTTGAGCTTGTTTTCCTCAATGTGCAATATTAATTGGAAAATTAAAAGGTTAAGTAGTGTTAAAATATTAGACTTCTTAAATAGTTTTTTTCTAAATTAGTCATTTCAAGTGCTTCTATGTTTGGTAATTTAACATGTATTAATAATTTTCTTCTATCGAATTTTATATTTACTTCTATTTGCACCCTAACTAATTGATGATCACTACCAGTGTTGACAGAATTTAACCCAGTAACATATTTAGCAATGTTTTTGAAGTTAGAGAGTATAAATTCAATTTCAACCTGGTATCAATAGTTCTCAGTATTCTCAAAACTATCAGTTTTTGTGGACACCCAATTGGTATATTCAGAATAAACTATGCTTTTGCAATAATGTTAGCACCCTTTTTCAAGAAGGGTAGGTTCACAGAAATGGAGTTTGTTTATGAACAGTTCTGAAACAAAAAAAACTTACATTTGTGGTACAGTAAATCTATCACCAATTGAATGGGGAGTAATTATTTAGCACCGTAAAATAGTTTCGAAACACAATTCAGATTTCAAAGCAAAACAGACGTTGATAAAGGTGTTAAAAGAGATGCGGGGAATCTAAAATTTGCTCTTAGTTGATAAGATGTGTCGTTGTCTCTTTTAACACCTTTATCAACGTCTGTTTTGCTTTGCAATTTTTAGAAAGCACAGATTAAAGCGGAAATCTGAATTGTGTTTCGAAACTATTTTACTGATTGATTGTCAGATGTCGCTATTACGTCCGTATTGAAGCCATTTTAGTGTTGCTTCTTAAAAGACAGAAAATATTGATCTTTCACGTTGAGAACACCTTTGAATAACTGTTCTGATGAGACCTATTAGGTTGAAATACATATCAACAGATACAAAGGCGCTTTTTGCGTGAAATCAAATATTTGCTGTCTTTTCACTAATTATCTAGAGTTTCAACTTTTTCTAAGAGTTATTTAGATGTTTATTGGCGTGCGGATTTTTTGGATTTGACAGTTCTTGACCATTGGATTTTGGAGAATAAGTATTGTATTTGGCCAAATTTTGGTAAAACAATCACCAAAAGGACTATTGTAAAGTTGAGTTTATATGGGCATGGATTTGCTGGCACGCCAGTAAAGTTAGAATCTTCCAACTTTTCATATGCCAGTAATGATTTTACTTATCAGCATTTCAAACTGAATTTGCATGTGTAAACCTTTGTGTTTAGTGGTTATTTTAAATTATATATTTTATAATTACTATTATAAAATATAGATAATATTTTTAAATTTGTGGTTAAGCAATTTTAACATGTATTAAGCAGTCCAAATTTGGTGTCTCTACTTATCATTTTTCTCTTTTCCACACAGCTAATCATCTCTTCAACAATACTTTTTAGAATTAAACCACACCCTACACAGAATTGAACAGAATATTCCACTGTGCCAATTTAAAAATGAAACTGGTATGACAAAATATTCTGTTCTATTAAATCTAGTATAAACCTTCACTTGTGTGACTACTGGAGCCAGCAAATCCATGCGTGTATAAACTGATGTTTAGACTACAAAATAAATTAAACTAGATGAAGAAATGAAGACTAGATGAAGGCGGGATTTAGAAAAGGGTTTGGCGCTAATGATCACTTACAAACCATCAGAACACTAGTAGAAAAAACCACAGAATATAATGTACCTTTACATATGGCATTTATCGACTTTCACAAGGCTTTCGATAGTATTGAGACTTGGTCCTTTTTGTCAGCCCTGAAGGATGCTCGAATAGACTCACGGCACACTACACTCATTAAAAACATTTATGAACAGGCCACATTCCACATCAATCAATGAAGACGAAAAAACTGAAAAAATGCGCCTTGATAAAGGTATTAGACAAGGTGATACTATTTCACCAAAGCTTTTTACCTTAGCATTGGAAAATGTATTCAAACAGCTTGACTGGAGGAAAAAGGTCTAAACATTGATGGTGTATGTTTGAGTCATTTGAGGTTTGCGGATGACATAGTATTATTTAGTACAGATATCAAGGAACTGGAGCAAATGTTGAAGGAATTAAACCAGCAGTCAAATAAAATAGGTCTCAAAATGAACCTTCAGAAAACAAAAATAATGAGTAATTTACAAACTAATCTTTTATTGACAACTTCAGTCTTGAAAATGTAGACCACTATATATATCTTGGACATACCATTAAAATCGGCAAAGAAAATCAAATAGCCAAAATAAAAAGACGCATACAACTGTCTTGGGAGCTTTCGGCAAATTAAGCTTTATTTTGAAGAATAAAGATATATCAATGTGTCTAAAACGTAGAGTTTATGACAAATGTATCTTGCCTGTAACTACATATGGACTGGAGACCATGGCCTTCACAAAGAAAACCTTAGAGCAGCTCAGTACAACCCAAAGAGCAATGGAGAGGGCCATGCTAGGGATTAGTTTGAGAGACAGGATTCGAAATAATGTCATTCGTGAAAGAACAAAAATTACTGATGTCTCAGAACGTATTGCAAGGCTCAAGTGGCAATGGGTCGGACACATTGCCCGAGATAATCCCGAAAAATGGACACAAAGATTAACAAACTGGAGACCAAGAGAGAGCAGGCGAGGAGTAGGCAGACCGCAGAAGAGGTGGACAGACGATATCAAACAAGTCGCGGGCAAGCAGTGGATGAGAATTGCCAAAAGTAGAAATTGATGGAAGCAAATGGAAGAGGCCTATGTCCAGCAGTGGACGAACACAGCTGAAGAAGAACAAGATGAAGAAAAAAAAAAGAAAAATATGTAGATAACAAATAAACTGCTGTATGAGATAATTAAAAAGTACAAATTATCTTACCAGACCAATATTGGCCATGCTTTTAACCTCAACTGTATACTCTAAATCTTCTCCGTCAGCACCATATTCGCAAATCATTGGAGACTGTTGTGTGTCAGAAACAAAGTAGTGGTTGCCTTTACCTCCTGCTCCTCCTCTAGCTGCTACAAACATTAAATTTGGCCGTGACAAATCTCCTACAACTTTACCAGCAGCATTTTTTATAATAGTGCCTATAGGAACATTAATTGTCAAATGATCTGCATTTTTTCCATTGCAGTCTTTTTTAGAACCTTTTTCTCCATCTTTGGCCTTTGCAACGGTTGGTATATGGTTTAAATCCTTTACACTTTCAGATGACTTAAAAATTATATGTCCACCATTACCTCCATCTCCTCCATCTGGACCAGCAAATTCATTAGAGAAAAGAGACAGATAGGAAATACAACCATCTCCTCCTTTACCACCAATAGCTCTAAGGTTCTTGAGATCTACAAAATTTTGTACCTAGTTAAAACAGTGAGATATCTGTATGTAAGAAATACTTACCACATTTTTCAATGATTTAGGTTTTTTGCTTCTTAATGGCTGAGCTACATCTTGAGAAAACTTACAAACCTTTGAGGCTAATCTGATGTTACTTTTTACTGCATTAATCATTCTCTCAAGTTTAATTAAAATATTGTGATTATATTAAATTTTAAAATGTATATGATTTGATGTACATGATTTTAGTTGTAAACCAATTCCTGATATAATAACACCTAATAATAATAAAGATTTAAATGCTTGTTGTTTTTATTATTGGATATATATTACAATTTACAATTTCTAGGTTACAATTGTCAATTGTCACTCATTTAAGAATAATTTTATGTCTAAGGGTGCGTTTAACGACCTCAGCGGCTGGATTAAGTACCCTTTCAGACGAAGCGACTGGTATCAGACAACGACACAGACAGAATAAATAACAATTGTTTATTATTCTGTGAAAGCGGTTTATGAACTAATGAAGTAATTATATAATATAATAAAGTAATTTCAATTTAGTGTTAAGTGTTTTATATGGGGATATTCGATTGTCAGCAAGTTGAGAATACCCCCTGAATTAGCTCGGCAGTTTATCCCCTGGGATATTACCCATTAAAAGAAGAAGAAGAAAATGATTCTAACCTTAAAATGTGATATAGAGAGACAGCAAATTATTTTTGCTTAATTTTGAAATATTTATATCATAAATCATAATGTTTTACACATGAAAGATATTTCCTGTTTTAAAAACTACTATGTTTACTATCACGAGAAGCGTGCTTAAAAATTGTTTCAGTAAGCGGTTTATACAGAATATACAATCCCTAGAAGGAACTATTGAAAACTCCAGTAAAAAGCAATCACCATCATTGCTTATAAGTTGTAAACGAAAAAAGTTAAATTACTATGCAGGGGTTCACTATAGTAAATTTGATGAGATACCTCTTGCTTCTAAAGGTTGGAACCACACAAAATCTAAAGGAGACTTTTTCTTAATAAATAGGTTGAAGAATGAAAAAAATCAAACATATTCTTTTGATGAATTAAACATTCATCCTAAAATAAAAGATGCTTTAAAAATTGAAGAGATAAGGGAATTAACAGAATTTCAAGCAAGATCTATTAATGAGGTAAGAAAAGGTAGGTGTTGTATCCAGAATGTTAATGCAATAATTACATAAAGAAAATACTTTTCAGGATCTCATCTTCTGCTAGCAGCTGAAACTGGCTGTGGAAAAACACTTGCCTATCTCATACCAATAATTCAGGATTTGATTTCCAACAAATCACAAAATGCTAATACACCAAAAGCAGTAATTATTGTGCCTAATAGAGAGTTAGCTTACCAAGTTGGAGAAATAGCAAGACATCTTGGCGATGCTCTTGGAATTACTGTAAAAACTGTTGTTGGAGGCAAAACAAAGGCCTTAATGATGAATCCTGTATTTGAAGATATTGACATTTTGGTTGCTACCCCTGGGGCACTTGGTAAACTTTCTACAGTGGGAATTTATAAACTAAATGAGGCAAGTTTTTAATGTGTTTAATGTTCATCTTTTTATTTCTTTGTTTGGCATCTTCTCTTTATAATATAATAACTGTTGTGGTTATAGGCAAAATATGCAGTTTTTGATGAAGCAGATACACTAATTGATGACAGTTTCATAGAGAGGATGGAAGGTTTAATCAAAAGGTTAACCCAATCCCAAGTTATACTAGTATCTGCAACTTTACCAAAAAGATTTCCACCTGTATTAGCACCAATAGAACCGTCATTAAAACATGTCGTATCTCCGAATATTCATAAACCTTTATTAAATATTAACCAGAAATTTTTAAGATTAACCAAATCTGCAAAACCTTCACATTTACTTCAAATTGCAAAAGCTAACACTAGGCCCATGTTAATTTTTTGCAATAAAAATGAAACCTGCAACTGGGTGGCTCTGTTTTTAAGAGAAAATGGGGTAGACTGCTCAAATATTAATGGTGATATGCACTATTCAATACGAATAGATCAGTGGAATAAATTTGCCTCAGGAGAGACAAAAATCTTGTCTGCTACAGATGTGGGCAGTAGAGGACTTAATACAATACAAGTGGTACATGTTCTCAATTATGATTTCCCTCTCTATGCTGCTGATTATTTGCACAGGATTGGAAGAGTGGGAAGATTAGGCAGCCCAGAAGCCTGCAAGGTTACCAACTTTGTAGTAGGAGCTCCAGAAGTTTCTTTAGTTCAACAAATTGAGGTGGGTTATGTTAAATTGAGGTGGTTAATGTTTAATTCTTAGTAAATTAAATTTAATAAATTATTTTTTAATAACATTTATGGTGTTTCTGCTAATTTAATTGTTTATGACTGACCAATTTTAATAGTTCTACTGTAATATTCTTATTTTTCCTCTAATCATTAATGCAAATTAATTAGCATGCAGCTTATCTGAACACAACAATTGCTCTGCTGTTAACATTGACACTGCATGTTACATTTGAAATGTGCTACGATTAATTATCGCAATAGACTCCTGGTTCGAAAAAATACAAAATTAAATTTCTATTACAAAAATTACTTTCGTATTAAAATACACAAATGTGACTTTAAAAGTTTTATTCAGTTTCCTTCAGTCAGTGGTATAAATTCGACTGACTAACCCTAACTCTAAACAAATTTAATATATTCTTATATACTCCATTTGCTTAGCTCGGGCATATTTTGACAGATTCATTGTCTGAAACCTACAAGACAACAATTCCTACTTCTCAGTATTAATAGCTCAAGTATACTACTATTGCAGACTTCTTTCTTTGAAAAAAGAAGAATTATTTTAAATAGAGGAAGTGTATACTAAACCCATCAAATTTTGGGTAGTAAATATTTAAAAAATATATTTTAGTTGTTATAATTTAACATAACTATTTATAACATTGTGCAGATAAATAAATATTGATTGTCAGTAATTCGCAAAGTTCTATTTTATTTACAATTTAGTTTGTTTACTATTAATATTGGCTATGACTACATATGTTTGGTTGTATAGTAATTTCCAGCCACTTTTAGTCTGTCAAAAAGTAACTAACTTCGCAAAAAAAAATTACTAAATTCACTAGACAATACGGATAGGGAATAGCGAACCGAGTATACTATATGATATTTGATACCCCACATTCTCATACGAAAGTCATTAAAATTAATTGCTTTCACAAGCCCTTAGCCTGAGAGACGATACACTGATTACAAGGGGATTTTTAAAATAAACATATTACTTAAGTATTAACTCAACACTGCACTAAACAAACTCAAAGTGCTTGTCCTTTTGCATGTTCTTTCTAATCCTGTGATATTGAAGAGCTTGGTTGCCTCTACATTTACATGTTCATGACTGCCTTCCTTCTTCTTGATTACTTTGTTTACAGCTTAGATTTCCAGGTCTCTATGGAGCTTTGGCATTCCTAATGTACCAAGGCTTATAAAAAAGATGTTCACTAAACTCTGTACTAGAATCTCCTGGTGCTGTGATTATTGCTTGGGTTGGTACAGCCCCATAGTTGCCAACCATAAGTTTATATGAGTTTCATGATCTTTGTTTGAATAGCATTGTATTGATGTATGAATAGTGTACAGTTTTTCTCCATCAGCCAATACATTTATAACATATACCTAACTCCTCCTTAAATCCTTTAAAATGAAAGAAAATTTTAACAGATCTTGTTAAAGGCGCTTCAAGCCATCAAGGCGCTTGTTTTGTTGATCTACATTTTTTGGTTTTGGTAAAATTGATACATCTGTCCTTGCTACTGCAGCAATGTCTTTAACAAAAGAAAAAATAAAGCAGCCTTGAAGCTTACTACTTTTTCAATGAAAATTTCTGTACTAGCATCAATGCCATAATCATCTAAACTGTAAATTTTCACATTCATCACCAGAAAAATGATCATAATTGATTAGTTCTTCATCCTCTTCAGATGAAGTGCTATCACTTTATTTTTTTCTGTTTTTGTGCTAAGCTGCTTGCCTTATTTAAATTTACCTTAATTGTTTATTATTCTGAGGTGTAATTTTTTTGAATTGAATTGATTATTGGCAGTAAATTTGAAAAATTATTAGTTTGTGTACCAATTCTCATTGTGTACTACTGTCCTCCATATCTATTGTTTCATCTCTCTTTTACTGCTAACAAATTTAAAATGCAAGCACAAACTTTTTAGTAACAGTAAAAACAAAAACTCAAATTAATTGAAATATCTTATTGTTTTAGCTTGCTATTAGAAGAAATCAGGCCTTGGAAAATGTAGATGGAAATATAACAAATATTGTTCAACGAAAAATAGCCAGAAGCCAGAGGGAAAGTGCATAATTTATGATTATATACCACCATTTTGGCAAATATTTTATGAATTTTTGTTTCCCAATAATCTAGGATCGTAAATCATAAGGTTAAGAACAAACAGAAGAAAAGATTTACATAAGATAGTGTACCTACATTGAAAAGTCTCAAATTCAACATCAATAATGATTTTTGTAATATTTTGTAAATAGCTTTAATAAAGTATGTAAAAGATATGTATTTTTATTGTTTAACATATAAATTGTATTTTCCAAAAACTTATAATTTGCTAAAATAAGGTAGACACCACAATGCTTTAGGTGCTAGCATTACTAACACCAATATATACAGTCATCTCAGACCATGCTGTGCAAAATTTAATATCTAGTGAAGTAAAGTGTGTACCTTGTGAAGAAACAACCCTGCAAATTATAAGGGTTTCAATGGCTATAAGGAGATTCCGCTAGCCACTGGTATTATTCCTGCACAATCTAACATCAGCATTGCATTAATCACTATCACTAGTGACAAGAACGCTCAATGAATGTCACTAGTGACATGAACAACGTCACTAGTGGCATGAACGCTATTCTGATTCAAATATGAACAGGTGACATAACTGAAGTTAAGTATATTAAAAACTACTTTGTGCCTATGCTGTACTAAAGGCAGCTTTACATCTAGGCTATGCAAGTCTCATGCTATGCAAGTCCGTCTTGCATGGCACATCTCTTGCCTAGCTTGACCTTTTACATCAGAGATATTTCTGTGCAATTTTAGATCCCACTTTCATTGTTGCCAACATAGAAAATATTTATCAATTTGAGGTTATTTTATTTTAAATAAAAAATATAATTAAGTACTAAAATAAATAATATAATAAATAAATATACACTGTTTATGGTTATTAAAAGGGTGAAGGATGTCAACCAAAGAAAAGAAAACATTGTTATTGTTGAATATTGCTGTTGTAGCAACAATCATCCATAGTCAACGACTCACCCAGTCGTTTTTACATTAACTTTAGACATAGTATATCTATTTATCACCACTTAATAAACTTAATTTAAATCAAAACACAACAATACACATGTGGGTTAAGGAACGCTAAAGATAGAGATAAGGTTATGTTTTATTCTGTAATCTATTATAAATTGTTTATGTTGGCAACATGAATTTTAACGATAAATTGCAAGAAAATTGCATGAAAAATAGAACATGTTCTAATTTTTCGTCTAGCACCGGAATTGCATGGAAATAGCCCGTGGCAGTGCTGCCGTCAAAACATTTAGGAATGTACTAGAATTATTTATAAAATGTACTAGATTGTACCCAATGAATAAATTAATGTGGAATAGTAGGGGAAAAGTCGGGAAATTTGAAATAAAACATATATTATAATATATGCTTAATACAATTTCGATGCCATTTATTTGCAAACTGGTATTTTGTTTTTTTCACAATAAAATCTTAATTTTGAATAAATTAAATTGTTAAATTTTTAATTTTAAAACTTAATAGGGGATGAAAATTTCAATAATAAAAGTATTTATTGTTTATTACATGCAAATACAATTTTCTAACTTTGAATTAAGAATACGTCCCTCTCACCTGATCTTTTGGAAAAATTAAATTTTCGTCTGACTTTTGTTTTGCAAGAGTGTCATTCTATCAGGGTACTTTCTTGTTGAAATTTCTCAATATCTCCGGACCGTTATCTTCAAACGCTGACACGACAAGTTCATAAAACTGTTCATGTCTAGGTCCAATGTATGCCTTATCATCCCTTTAATCCCACCTAAACACTATACCAGGTCTGCTTCATATCCCAGTTTGTTTTACGAGGACTACGTTCAGTTTTCTTGATTGGCGCATTGCCTGTTATTTCAAAACAGATGTGTCGATGGTCTGAACTACACACCTTGTCAAAACATGCCATTTTTAAAATTCCAGCCATGTTAGTTGCGGCCATTGTTGTTAATTGCCTCCTTTTTTTGTGAAGTTACGAAAGTTGATTTATTGATGATTGATGAAAGTGATGTTCCATAACAAACTGTAGTAATGCTCACCACCTTCATTAATTCTTGTAGTGCCCTACTAGATCAGATAGGTCCTTGGGACTTTGGCAGATCGGTCATTTATAAGCTCTCCACGATAGACCTGTTACTTTGTCCTTGCAAACCCAGAGCTCTTGTATCACAACTACATTGAACCTTCTCATGACAACAATAAGTTCTGCCGAAGCTGTCTTACTATCCTCGAAATTAGCTTATAGGATTCTGATTGAAGCCATTAAGGTCTCTGATTGTCTTAAAGGATACCTTTCCAAGTTTATCATTTACCTTGAAATGAGCAGCCCTCAATGTTTTACACGAGACCTCGTCAATTGTATAGATTAGGGTTTGTGAGTCCCCCCGATCTTTCGATTTTTAAACAACCAGTCTTCTATCTTAAGGTTTTGATTTTGCCTCTTTAGACAGATCCTGATGATTTCTTTATCCGATTCTTTGTCGTGGACGCGGGTGAGGATCATGGGAGGCTTGGGCATATTATTGAGCTCAACTATATTTAAGTTTGCTCCCACCCACATAGTCCTCAGCATTTCAGTAGTTCATTTTTTGTATACTCGTTAACACAGTTTACCCACAGGGTCCTTGGCTAGACGATATTTTATGGAACTGTAGAAGTTCATTATGACCTCCGATAAGAGCATCATCAACTGCTTGTCCAGTTTGTTATTGATCAGGTCTACTTAAGCCCGATCCAGTTTGAGTATTAGGTCATGGGGATTAGTTAGAGCCCCTTGGTTTTTTAGCAAATGTGTTGCGAGGAGACCAGCAGCCATTTTTGCCTCTTTTCTCATCTTTGTTTGTTGCACTCCGGAGAGGTATTTTTTGAGACTCACTTATTTATTATTTTTTTAATTTTAAAATCCGAAATTATACTTTACAATTTAAAATTTTCAAATTGTAAAAATAATTCTTTGGTGTATATGTTAAAAAGATATTCTAGCGTACTAACGAGATCTGGAATTGTTTTTTTTTTTATTTAAACAAAGTAGAATTTGTTTGGGCTTTCTCTCTTAGTGATTGACTTTTCATTAATTTTATTTATATTTTATAAAAACAGAGTTTTAATTATATTATTTGTAGAATTGTACATATTATTAAGAATTTGAATTACAATATTTTTTCTAAAAAGGTTCACTTATTAAAAGTTGAAATGAAAGCATTTAATGCAAATGACCAGCGGCATCTACATAAGAAAATATATAAAGTTGCATTATTGTTCGCCGCTCTTTCATATTTTAAAAGTAATGATACCGCTCACATGACCGCTCCCTAGTGGTACAGTAAGGAACTAAAATTTTGTTTAACTTCAGCCACAGATCACCTACCTCCACAGTTATTAGTGGTCTGTGACTTCAGCCGTGACTAAAAAATGACAGCGAAATATGCATTCTATCATGAAAAAGAAAAATAAACGGAATAAAAAATTATTTCATAAACTACAAAAATTGACATTTTTATATATCTGATTAGCCGTATAAAGTGAATAAAACAAATTGTGTAATAATTGTACTAGAAATGGGTCGATAATTTACAAAATGTACTTTTGTACTCATGTGCTAAAAATGTACTAGAAATAGTACAATTGTACTAGACCGGCAGCCTTGGCCCGTGGGCATGCGCAGTTCCATGATCTGTCTTGCATGGCTCTTGCCTAGCATGAAAATAGCATAATGTAAAACTGTCTTAATACTATGAGTAGGTAAACAATACTTTTCCCATGAGGTAAATTTCTAAAACATTGCTTTTATATTTTTTTGCGATTTTTCATTTTTACAGATTTTTATGTGAAGTGTTCAAGCATATTTTGACGAGAAATTTTATTGCCATAAATTTGCTTACATTTATTTTTGTCTAATCATACTTTTTGAAATATTTAGGATAAAATGTTAAAAATTGATTTTAATGATTTTTTAATTAATTCTTGAGCTAAAGATAATCAAAATTTTAGTTAGGAACAAATTTCAGGACATTTCTACAAAAATCCAAATTAAATTACAGCTCACTGCAATATTATAGAAAGGAGTTTTATTGGAATATTTTGTTTCATGGTAGACATTTGCAGCTATATTCAGCTTCAGCTTGTACTTTCGTTATAGTTTACTGGAAATTCTTATCAAAAATGCTGAAATTCCTGTTTGGTAGCATACTGTGCCTAACCATAGAGGAATAAAATTAAACCAAACAGTTTTATTCTCAATTTATGGCTGGTGGCAACATTCTTGGCTATTGTTACTAAAGCAAAAGGCCAGAGAGAACAATGACTTTTTTCCGTCAATTGTTGCATCAGAAAAAGAATGAACAATTGACAGAATGATTTTGTTGTCTTCACGTTGTATGTGGCATAGGTTATTTCGGTGTAGAAATTTATCACCAGTATTAACACTTTCTAAAATGTCTACTAATCAATTATTAGACGTAAAAATAAAAGAACAAGCTGATCTTGTTCGTAATTTAAAGGCTTCCAAAGAATCGAAAGAGAAAATTGCAGAAGAAGTAGAAAAACTTCTTGCGTTGAAAGCTCAACTCCAAATTGATGATGGCATTAGCAGTAATAATCAGAAATTTGTCCTTAAAACTCCGAAGGGTACAAGAGATTTTGCTCCAGAACAAATGTCTCTGAGATTAGAAGTTATGGATAAAATAACCTCAGTTTTTAAGAAACATGGTGCCGTAACTATTGATACACCAGTTTTTGAATTAAAAGAAGTTTTAACTGGAAAGTACGGTGAAGATTCTAAGCTTATTTATGACTTGAAAGATCAAGGAGGTGAGATACTTTCCTTACGTTATGATTTAACAGTTCCTTTTGCACGTTACCTTGCTATGAATAAAATTACTAATATCAAACGTTACCATATTGCCAAAGTATATAGAAGAGATAATCCATCGATAACTAAAGGAAGATATAGGGAGTTTTATCAATGTGATTTTGATATAGCTGGATCTTATGATCCAATGATTCCAGATGCTGAGTGTGTAAAAATTATGTATGAAATATTAACAAGTCTTGATATGTCTCCATTTGTAATCAAATTGAATCATAGGAAATTGTTGGATGGAATGCTAGAAGTATGTGGTGTTCCTACAGAAAGCATAAGAACTATCTGTTCATCTATTGATAAGTTAGATAAGTCTCCTTGGGAGGAAGTAAGAAAGGAAATGGTTGAAGAAAAAAATTTATCACCTGAATCAGCTGATAAAATTGGAGAATATGTAAGATTAAATGGAAAAGTTGACTTAGTTGAAAAGTTACAACAAAATGAAGTACTTAGCAAAAATAAAAGTGCCCAAGAAGGATTGGAAGCCATGAAGCTATTATTGAATTATTGTGACTTGTATAATACATCAGATAAAATTTTATTTGATCTGAGCCTTGCTAGAGGTCTAGATTATTACACAGGAGTTATATATGAAGCTGTATTACTAAAAGATAATAATGTTGGAGGTGATATCTCAGTAGGTTCGGTAGCTGGTGGGGGTAGATATGATAATCTAGTAGGAATGTTTAATCAAAAGAGTAAGCAGGTTCCTTGTGTTGGAGCATCAATTGGTGTAGAAAGGCTATTTACTATTATAGAAGCAAGGTAAGTAAGCACTTTAAGTTTATATTAAATACAAATTTAGAATTTGTTTCTTAAGTATAGTAGGGACTGTAGATATTTACTCATGTGGCATTAATACTTGACAAACATATTACTTTAAATATAAGAGTTTAATTAATGTTCCTTCCTGCATTTACTTCTTATTTGTTATTTTCTAAGGCAATAAGTTCAAGCTGCACTGTTTTCGATGTTTTTGCCAGACTAAAGAGGTGCTAATAAATCAATCAATTATTTTATTTTGATTCATAGCACACCAAGTTTGTTCCAGTGGATTTCTTGCTATGCAAACCCTGGTATGATTGAGATATTAAGCCTTTACATCACCAAGAAGAAGAAGATTGAAGAGCTTAGGGATTGCAGAGTGTATACATATGCTACGATAATTTTGAATATTCTCTTTATTACCATTTTTACCAAACACTGCACTCAACTTATTGAAGGATTATTTTTGTTAACATTTATCTCTCATTGTTCTAGACATTTCTTTCTATTTACTGAGTCATAGGTTGTGTTGTAATTAATGTAAATATATTTTATCACTACACACTACAGTTTCAGAGAGATTAGTAAATTCAAAAACACCAGATTAATTTTAATAGTATAGATGAGGGACTGCATCTAAAAAAACTATGGATCTCAATGAGACTAAATACAAAATCACTCTCCAGATGAACCAAAATACTAGGATTGCATCTCAAAAATACAGATAATACCTTTGTAAAGTTTTCTAATTTAAAATGTATATAACATATCTGAATTATTGACATAAGTGAGACAGATAAAATTAAATCATGCTATGATTAGACCATAAAAAATTCGATAGTTCTTTCCATTTGTTGTTTCATTTATTAAAACGTTCTTTTCATTTCAGGCAAGCAAATTCTACCACTAAATGCAGAAAGACAGATATTGACGCTTACATAGCATCCGCCCAAAAAAATTTGCTGGAGGAAAGAATGAAACTGTGCTCTGAGCTTTGGGATAAGGGCTTTAAAGTGGAACATTCTTATAAGAAGAATCCTAAACTTTTAGTGCAGTTGCAACATTGCGAAGAAAACGGCATACCCTTTGCTATAGTTTTAGGCGAAAGTGAAATTAAAAATGGAGTTGTCAAGTTAAGAAATGTAGAAACTAGGCAAGAAACAGAAGTGAAACGGGAAAATTTAGCAGATGTGTTGAGGGATAGCTTGAGCTCATTAATTTGAGATAATTAAATTATTTTATATTAGGCACAATGTTTTCCTTTTTTCTTGTTGAATTTTATATATATTTAAATTATATATTTTATATGTTTTGCATTATCTTTGTATTCAGTATTTTTTTACGAATTTTTTATATTTGTAACTTAACTGACATAATGTAACAAATATAAAAATCACAACAAATCCACCAAATATACAATAGTATTGCATCAATAAACATAATTGGTACCCTTGCTGAGTTTCCCTTGCACATTTAAATGTTTTTTTTTATTTATTTATACTGAGGGTTAGACAATAAATGTTGATTAAAATCATTGATTTTTTTAAAATCATGTTTTTGGATTTTAATTAGCAAATTAATCATTATGATTTTTTTTAAATGAGTACAAAATATTTTGAGGTTTTTCAAAAAAATATTGGCGACTCAAATAAATAAATAAAACAATTTAAAAATGACGAAATGTTTGTCAGATCACATTTTTTGCTAGAAAATTCCTGTAGCGACTTGATTTTAGCTGATCTATATATCAAAAGAGTGTGACTCAAAAACGATATCTGATACCTTGAACTGCTGGAGAATTCCATTATTGTAAGTAAAGTAAGTAAATTCTGAATTAGATTCAATTCCTGGAGCATCAAAACACAATGTTTTTTTTTTTCGGATTATTTCCACTACCAAAAGTTCCCACAATCTCAAAAAAAAAACTAAAAAGTGTACAAAGAAACGATCCGAAATCCTGATATCCACACTGATGAAGAATATTCTCAAAGAATCTGACTTGAAGAGGAAAAAGAGAATCGAGAAGAATGTAGCTGCCAGAAAAAGAAAAGATGTTGAGATTGATGAAAAGATGACATAGAGGCCAAAAATCAACCCATATTAAGAAGATTGAGTTTTAAGAAAGTGAAACGGAGGAATCAGAAAGAAAGTGACGAGAAAGATATATGTGATGATGATGATTTCATCGGCCTTGGAAATGGTCCATGTCTCTGATCCATGTATCAACACTGGTTATATAAGAGTTTTGTATATGGTTATTTTTGTTTTTGGCTTAAGTTTCTGCTTCCCATATGTCTACTCAATCCCAAATAACATTTGTTTGCTAGGATTATTCTTAGCTTGATTTATTCCGTCATGATGTTCTTCTTGGTGATCAGGGAGCCTAAGTATGTGAATTTGTCCACCACTTCAAAGGTAGAGTTATCAACCGTGAATTGGTGGCTGATGTTTCTGGCTTTATTGTTGGGTGTTGATGCCATTAGGCCAAAAGAAACAAAAACCTACTGAGAATGCTTTATTTTCAAAATTATTTTAATACCATTTTTTAAATATAGTAATGCTAAAACTGCATTTAAACAAACTATTTTTTTTTTTAAATACTTTTACATTGATATTATCTTTAAACTTACATCAGAAACAATAAGACTAATCAATTTTAAGTCCGTGGTTCCTATTGGCCCATTCTTCTTGTGACTGATCAGCAAACTGATTAATTCCAACCGTTGAAGAAACTTCCCCACGTTCGTGCTTTTTGTTATGCTCTTCAATAAATCTCAAATTGTCTTGGAATATCTTGAATCGTTTCTGTTCTTCTTCCGGAGTTGCATATGACTTATTAAACTTGGTCTGAAACAAAGAGAAGTTGAGATATCTACGCTTTACATAAAAAATGTGTTTTACAAAAACCTCATAAGAAGGAAAGGTTCTTAGTCAATGTCATTATTAAACGAGTTATAATAATAGTAATGATAATATTGTAAAGCGGCGTCGTGAAGTGCAGATGTATTACAAAATATGTGTAAGCTAATCTAACCTAATAGCCCCTATAGGGTCCAATAACAGGGAAAGATTACTCCAGAGCTCAATCCTTTTCAGGCCATAGATATCTGGAAACTCCATAGCGAAGAAGAAACAAATTGGAACTTCCTCAAAGCAACCATCTTCCTTATTATATAACATGTCTCTCATGGTATTTTTAAGAATGACAATTACATGCTATAATAGACCAACCAGTGGCACATAATACCCTCTGGCTCAAAATCTCCTAAACGTGTTGTCCGATTTAAGTGATTTTTTTAATATGTTATAGCCTTATTCCATGACAATATCATTATAATAATATGGTTGCTAAACAGGTAAATTTTCATTGCGTACAACCGGTGTATGAATTAAACTGCTTTTTTTCTTAAAGTTTGCATCACCCTGTGGAATATTCTAGCAATTGTAAAATATTGAAATTAAAACCTAACTATAGCCTCATATTTTCTCAACATTTTGTTTTTTGAGTAATTCGCTTATGTTGGATAATACAAAAGTTAGGTAGTTTAACAACTAGCTATGTTTTTCATCAATAGGTCCTTCTGGTTTGCAGAAGTTTGTAAGTCCATTTGAAATATCGCCAGTGCCGTCGATCAGCATTAGCACAGAATAATAAACAATCAGAATGTCCACTCTCAGATGCCGCCTTTGAAGTTTTTCAGCACGCGCGCCATGTTTTAGAAGGAAACACATAACACAGACAACATATGATTTGTGAGGTTATGTAATTGTTTATATTTACGTTTAATTCTATTATATTTAGGTATGTTTTTATATTTAACAATGTTAATATAATTGTATAGTATATCTATGATGTCGGTCAGATAGCTCAGCGGGCTGTGTGGCTGCCTCTCATTCGCTTCACTGTCGAATGGTTCAGTGGATGTGGGTCGAGCCCCAGCTCGGTGTACTGAAAACAAAAAGTCTAACGCAGCAGTTTAAAATTCTAGATGAATCTGCGGCTTAGACTAGGATATGCTGGGATCTGATCGGCCTATGGTGGAGCAGTACGGCAAGAGATAAGGGCTTGCGGCTTGGTAATACTCCTCCATAGATCCCTACCGGACGGGCGTAACGCCTAAAAAAACCGATATATATATATAATATATATAATATATATATATATATATATATATATATATATATATATATATATATATATATATATATATATATATAATATATATATATATATATATATATATATATAATATATATATAATATATATATATATATATATATCTATGATTGCCGTAAGTCAATTAAACCGGGTTAATTTTGTCTATACACACCACATAAACAACACTGGTTCCCTCTAAAACATGGCGGAACGTCTGCGTGAAGGAGATGCGCGTACTTAATTTTCCATGGAGAGTGGGCATTCTGATTGTTCATTATTCTGTGGCATTAGACCAGCAAAACAGCAAAAAAATTAAATGTTCAAGCAGTAAAACGACAAATTACGGCTGAGTTCACAAGGGAGGTGACTAAGAAAAAAATTAGCAACAAGTCAGAGAGGCGGCATAAAAAGGAAATCGAAAGTTCTTCTGACAACGATAGTGAGCAAGAATTTCAACCAGCTGATGAAGATACGAATTTGAAAGAGATTCCTAGTGTAACGGATCCGGAAAATACGGATTTAAATTGTATTTTCTGTGACGGAAAATTTTGTGAAGATTATCGAGGTGAAAAATAGATTTACTGGCATATTTTAATATAATGGAAAATGAAAATAAATGGAAATCTTCTACAATGTGGTCACGATACTCTATGATAAAATCAGAGTTAGTTATTAGAAAAATGTGGATATAAGCAAATTTTTAAAGTAAAAAAAAACAAACGAAGAATATACTGCAAAGAAGTCTAAAGTTTTCACTAAAGACGAGTTGGATAAATTTTTGTTTGAAGCGCCAGATAAGTTGTATTTAGGATTAAAGGTAAAAAAAATATATTGCAAAGCATGTAGTATACTCTACTAAATTATAAAAATATTTCAGATTGTTTTGTTAATTGGGGTTACCGGCGCCTGTCGATGCGACGAAATGGTAAAAATGAAGACTGTGGACATTGAGGATAAAGAAAATGTAATAATTATCAAAATCCCAGACAGTAAAACACGACAAATTAGATATTTTACGATAATTGGTCAAAACTAACATTAAACTGTATAAAAAGTATGCATCACTGCGGCCTGAAAATTTCACAGAAAACCGATTTTTTATCAAGTACCAAAATGGAAAGTGTTACCGAAGCGTCATGGGAATATATTCGATCAGCGCAGTAGCCCAAAAAGTAGCTAGTTATTTAAATTTAAACGATGCAAGCGCATACACGAGTCAGTCTTTACGACGAACTTCAGCAACACTTTTAATTGATGGAGGCGGAAATCTAGAATGCCTCAAACGACATGATGGCTGGAAATCAAGCACGGTTGCCGAAGGATATATAGAGGATTGAATAAGAAATAAGAACGAGAATGCTCAAAAAATTTTAAACCCTCATGATTCGCCAACATCGGGAATGATTTCTGAAAGTTGTTCTCGACCATCAGTATCATCAACAATTACCAATGCGTATCAAGAGTCTGGAACATTTTTGCACGGTTTCAATTTTGAAAATGCCTCATTAACTAATTGTACTTTTAATATTACTATAAATAAAAATGATGTTTAATTGTTGTTAATGACATTTGTATTGTTGCTTTGTGACATGTTTCATATTGTTGTCATGACAACATTTTTCCCTCCGCCGTAAATAAGTGGAAAAAAAGCTGCTGCCGGCGGAGACATCAAACTTTGACAGGATCAAGTTAGATAAGTAATGTCATCATTATTTGACGTTTGAAGAAAAAAATATTTTTATTAGTAGCCCATATTTATATCACCTTATCCATTTCTTACTTAAATGACACTGTCAGTGTTTTATGACATTACAGAAAAAAATATCTTATTAGGCAGAAAAACGGACTAGCATAAAAGAGCAAAACAACTCTACATGCCAATTATTTAATTCGAACTTTTTAGATAAAAAAATAGTCGAGATATCAGCAATAGGTAAACAAAATGGTAGCCCATATTTGGACCTTATTCTCTATATCTACCTTATTTATAATTTTTAGCTTATTTATTTAAAATTTTTTAATTTTTAATGAAAAGACAGCAACCCAGACAGCACAAGACATCCCTGGGACGTCCATTTTATGCCATTTTGAGGTCCAAACGTCCCGGGACTTCTTTTGGACGTCCGAGGGACGTCCAAGGGATATTTCTAGTCGGACATACCAGGGACGTCCCATAAGGTCGTCCGAGGGATGTCCTATTAGGGATGTTTTCTAGATGTTAACTGTGTCATTTTTTTACTTAAGCATATTTTTTACAAAATATAATATCTTCCTACTAAACTTTATTTTAAAAAGTATATTTAGTT